TATATATATATATATATATATTAATAATAATAAATAAATAAATATTTTGAAATATTCCTAAAATAGGCTTAATTTTATTTTATTTATATATTTTTATTTAATATAATCAAGTAAGACGAGGATACGTTCTTGACAGATTTACTGAGATTCAAAATTTTAATAAATTATATGATAGTATATAAATAAAGCTAAAATAACAATGGACTGCAGAATCTGTATCTCCCCAGCTTATGATCTACACATCATTTATATGCAGTTAAACTAAAGCTTCTGGAAACACTTGAGGAAAAGTAGTTAACTAACATAAAGTAGCCGACTTCATCTATTTAAGCAGAAAATATCGAATAAACTACAAAAATAACTAGAACCACTAGATCGGTGGTTCTCAGTTCCCTTCGAACTGGCAGAATATCCTGTGATGTCCACTTCGCAGGGCACTTACGGTCAATTAGAACAAACGTCTGAAGTAATAAGAGACACATACAAAATGTGCAGAGCTGTACTAGATAATACACATGACTGTTGTGATGAGAGCAGTATTTATGTGGCACAGAAACAATAAATGTGTGGCATTACACTTGAACAGAAAAACTAGTGTTTTTAACATAAGTGAGCTACTGAAGCTAAAGCTGTGAGAATAACCACTGTAATGCTGTAAAAGACGATCCAGCTGTGCCAGAAATCACTAACACACTCTGCCAATTCACCTCTATATGACACACACACTTTATAGCATTATGAGTTCTTCTGCTGACATTAAATCAAGCAGCAAGCCACATAAGGCCATGAGATACAGAACTGTTAGTTAAGAGCACTTAAGAAGTGCCGTTACACTGAATGTAAAGCACAGAACAGCAGCTACAGCAATATGATAAAACATCTGTGTGTTTATCTAGAAATATTTACATGTATTTACAGCTGATGTGCAGCTGGCTATATATTTTACAATGACTATGCACAAGGCTCATGCAAAAAGATCCAAAAACTTCACATTTTTTCCTTTCGTCAATGCACATGCAACTGCATTCTATGTAAACAATGCTGTTCTATTAACATTAATTTTCACTTCAGAGGAGATGCATGCAGCATTCACAGCACTTTAACTGAGAAAAACATGGGTGTTTTTGTGCATCACCGGATTTTCTGAATTTCTTGAATTGCATGCTAAAAAATGCACACAACTCATGCAAACAAAAATTCATCAGTGGGCATAATTCATTCTTACTGAATATATTCTCACTCAAAAATGTGGGCATGTTTGTGCAATAATATATATATTTTTAATTGTAATAGTGCAAAATGTGGGATAAAAGTGCAAAGGGTTGAAACAGCAAAATATTTTATTTAATTTATAAAAAATAATCTTTCAGCATTCTATACAAACAAGGCTGTACATTAATGCATGCCATATTTGCAGTACTTTAACCGGGAAAAATGTAAGCGTGCACACTAAAATAACGCACACAGTACATGCAAATACGGCGTCATTAGTGTGCGAAACCTGTTTTTACTAAATAAATTTTTACAGAAAAATGGGGGGGGGTGCAATAATAGTATTTTTTATTATAAAAATGTAAAACTCGAAAGAAATCAACATTCTTTTTTTTGCATTCTACATAAACAAGGCTGTTCTGTTAACATTAATTTTCACTTCAGAGGAGATGCATGCAGCATTCGCAGCACTTTAACTGGGAAAAGGATTTTAGAGTTACATTTTTGTCCATTTGTCAATGCAAACTCCTGCTATGCAGATGAGGCATACTATGGAATTGTGTTTGTGCATCACCTGATTCCCTTCAGTGATTTTGAGTGTATAACACATGCAAATACAACATCATCAGTGGACATGATTCATGCTTTCTGAATTCCTTCCTTATGTTGATCCCCCAAGTAACAAAACAGCTCTCTGTTTAATGCTTTGACGTGATTGTAGGGCTGGTGAACATCAGTGAAGTCTTACCGCAGGTGAACTGCTGCTCCTGAAGACTGCGCAGCTCCAGTCCATGAAGACGAGCCGGATACACGCATACAGATTAATTCCCCACACGCACCGCCTGAGATCTGATCCACGACAACAACCAGCGCAGCTGACAATCACAGAGCAGATAGTCTGTGCCCACGTGCCTGAAAACACCACGATCATCCATTTAACGCACTGACGCTATTGCATGAGGACAACATCTGAACTGATTCTGCAGAGCTGCTTTGGGAAGTTACTTTTACTTTTATTCTAATTAATTCTACTGCTGGTAACGAATAATAGCATCCATCTAGTTCCCCTGCATTACTTTGAGTGCACTGACAGAGAACAAAAACTGTCCAAATGAACAAAGTTAAACAAAATAAATGTAATAAATCACTTGCGGTTTAGAGGCAACAGATTCTGACAAACTTAATAGTTAAAAACAACAAAATTAGTAAAAATTTAACTGAAATTAAAGTGAAAACAGAAAATGTAAAATCCAATTCAAAATATTAACAAAACCGTCAAAATTTCTAAAACTAACTAAAATTAAAGTGAAAACATAACATGTAAAATCTAATTTAAAAAATATTAATAAAATCATCAATTTCTAAAATTAACTAAAATTAAAGTGAAAACATAAAATATAAAATCCAATTCGAAATATTAACAAAACCGTCAAAATCTCTAAAACTAACTAAAATTTAAATGAAAACATAAAATATAAAATTCAATTCAAAATATTAACAAAACCGTCAACATTTCTAAAACTAACTCAAATTAAAGCGAAAAATAAAATATAAAATCCAATTAAAAAAATATTAATAAAATCATCAAAATTTCTAAAACTAACTAAAATTAAAGTGAAAACATAAAATGTAAAATTCAATTAAAAAAATATTAATAAAATCATCAATTTCTAAAACTAACAAAAATTAAAGTGAAAACATAAAATCCAATTCAAAATATTAACAAAACCGTCAACATTTCTAAAACTAACTCAAATTAAAGCGAAAAATAAAATATAAAATCCAATTAAAAAAATATTAATAAAATCATCAAAATTTCTAAAACTAACTAAAATTAAAGTGAAAACATAAAATATAAAATCCAATTCAAAATATTAACAAAACCATCAAAATTTCTAAAGCTAACTAAAATTAAAGCAAAAACATAAAATATTAAATTAAATTCAAATATTAACAAAAAATTTAACAAGAATACTACAGTTTAGTAATTAACGTTTTTGTAATTTTGTTGGCATTTTTACTATATTTTTTCAATATCTCTTTTTAGCTTTAGCTTGTATTAATTTCAGTTTTAGCTTTATTAAAGTGGTGTAGGTTGTAACAACGGATCTCTTGGTGTTTGACATTAACTCACATAATCTGTGATTGTGTAGCACGCGTCCAAGTGAATTTTATTTGTAGAGGACAAATGTGGCCACCGTTTATCAAAGTTTGAGATCTAGCACAAACAACCACTGAGTTACTGACGCTCAGACAAAAAGTGTTACATTCATAACCACCCATTTAAACAGTAGAAATCAGTGCAGAAATCTTACAGCGCTCTGAGAGACGGGGCGTGTGTGAACAAACCCTCCGGCAGCGTGGAAAAGATATTCCCAGACAAATTCCTGAAAGACACACAGACGTTATGCACAAACCTATCCCAGTAACATTAAAACACAGCTAGAACATACAGCTCCCTGTGTTCAATAAAGACTCACAGTTTGGAGAGACGGCCGAGATCAAGAAACATATCAGCAGAGAAACAGCCAATCCTGTTGTTGGAAAAGATCCCTGCACAAACACACACACACGTTTACTTAGCTATCTAAATGGGGACATTACATAGACTTCTATTGTTTTTATATACAGATAGTTTACACTTTTTAACCTAAACCCACCCCTACTCCTAACCCTACCCCTAACAGAAAACTTTCTGCATTTTTACAATAAAAAAAAAAACGTCTCAGGTTACGCATGTAACCATGGTTCCCCTTCTAGGGAACTCCACGCTGCGCCCCCTAGGGGGCACATTGGGGAATGCAGCCTGCATGACCGGTGTCTGAAGCAATTGTGAAACAACGCCAATCTACTGGCCCACCTGGCCCATGACGTCATAGGCGGGATGCCCGGAAGTATAAAAGGGCTCCTGCTGAATATGTCATCCTCTTTGCTGTCTGAAGGAGACGTAGACAGGCAGGCCGAAGGCATAGCAAGGGGGCGCAGCGTCTCGTTCCCTCTCGGGAACCATGGTTACATGAGTAACCCGAGACGTTCCCCTTCAAAGGAACTCAACCATGCGCCCTAGGGGGCACATTGGGGAACGAAATCCAAACACGCCGTGCCGAGGCGCATGCCTGTCCACCTGGTGGGAGAGCACCAAGGAAGCGACAGACATAAACAAAGCCTTTCCTCAGAAAGGGGCCATGCTACTGACGCCACAGGCCGCTCACACAACTTGGCAGAAATGCACTGTCTCGGCAAGGGCTCAAAGAGACCGCTACTTAAAGACCCTGAAAAAGGGGAGCAGACACTGAGCTAGCACACAGATATCCACAGATAACTATGCACCTAGGAAGGGCTACCAGAAGGGGGACTGACTGAAAATACCCAGACCACAAAGAGTGGGCTGTCTACTTGCAACCCTAGCAGGGGAGACAGCACTGTCTAGGTAAGGGCTCAAGGAGACCGCTACTTAAAAACCCTAAGAAGGGAAGCAATCACCGAGCTGTCACACAGCTAATCCCACACAGTTAGCCTAATAACCAGGTAAACCTTCCAGTGAAGCTGCCTAGAACAAAAGATTGGGCTATCTACTTATGACCCTAGCCGGGGAGATAGCACTGTCTAGGCAAGGGCTCA